TTGCTTAATTCAAACCTATTTGAAAATTTTTCCTTAATGGGATTTCTTGTCATTTGGTTTTCCCCAACCGGCTCAGTAACCCCAAAAAAACCTTGCGTCTGCTCCACCTTTTTGACTCCCAACAAACGCCCTCCACGTGTCCACCACCCCGCCCGCTCATCATCTTCTACCTTAGGAACACCTCCCCACCACGACCATTCAATTTCAGAGGCCACCCACACCTTGTACTAGGCATCATCCGAGCATATTTCAATGACCCTCGGCAAGTTCTCGTGCCTTACACCAGCAACCTGTAACTCCATGGCACCCAGAAAACGTTTATCAGCTTTCATCAAGATACCTCCCAGACAATGCACAATGTGTTCAAGATCAGAGTTCCGCCAAAGGTGAAATGGAAGGCCTACAAGCTTCAGCCRGACACAACCATCTTGGACTTCGACTTCATTGCAAAATGGACTCCARTTCTGAACCTGTATCAGAACTCCATCCACCACTACTGCTTTAAAACTTAGCTCCCAGTCGCCTACATCAAGCACAGCTTTCGTCTCTGCAAAAGGGAACAACAAAGCTTCACTCCCAGATCCTAACTCCCCTACCACTGTACACAGAACCCTTCTCCAGTCTGTCACTCCTCTATCGGCCACTAAAACCCTTCTTTTCTTCCACTCATCCTTCCTTGCTCTTACCAATAATCTTCGAGGACTAGACGCGCAAGCAACCACCACTTCAGTCGGAGTGCCTTGCACTTCTACGCTCCCAGAGGAACTCAACAAAACTGCCCCTTCCTGAGCATTTTTACCCTGGTCTTTGGAAATTTGGCCAGTTCTCTTCACCCCCTCTGCTCTCTTCACTTCCAAGGCTACAAGAAAATACTGTAGCACCTTCACAAAATCCATCCACCCTTTCCGTAGCCTCCCTTCTGGCACACACAGTAGTTGCTTTCCTCTTGTTCCAAAAAACTCCACCACAGAGATAAACCAACCCTTTCTGTTTCTTTTCAATTCTGTTACAAATTTCTTACCTGGTACAGCCAAAGAATTTGTCCATCCAATCACCTTACCAGAGTTGATAGCCCCATCTATGAAACCTTTCAACCAGACTAAGACCTCCTTTGACACCAACACAGTCGCCCTGTTATTCTCTCTGATTTTCAAAACATCCTCACCTTTGATCCTTTCCTCTTCGATTTTGAAGGTCTTGGCTTCGATCGACACCTCAGACCTCCACCTTCCTACTACTCTGAACCTGCCCTCGTCCATTCCACCTTCCACTTGGCAACTTATTATGGGGTGCAAAAGGCCACCCCATGTTTATCTCCTCACCTTTTATTCACTTAACTTTCAGCCCAAAAACATTGTGGATAAAATAGTAACATAATAAAATATCTAGAATTATAATAATCAACCCAACATGACATTCAACTATTAAGGAACTCACAACCTACTTAATTACTTGTTCACTAAAAGAAATAGTAATAAGCCATTTAGTTCAGCCACTTCATCTGCTATCAAACAGTCCTCAAGTATATACATGCATATATACATATATGGGGTATGTATACATTCTCAGATTTCATGGAGCCAAGGAAAAGATACCTACAAACATGATGGCAACAATGACAAGCAGATAAGGTAGATGGAGTATAGATATTGCAGACGCCTCTTGCTCTTCCCCTCCAACACCTACTCCTGCAAAAGAAAACAAAACAAAAAACAAAAAACAGAGACGCACTTGTTATAGCCTTTATAAAATCATAAACAATACAACAAGCTTCAAACTCAGAAAGAAAACAGCTCTCAGTCTCAACTCATATAGAATTCATCATCATCCAAGCCTTATTCTAACTATATGGGGTTGGGTACATGAATCCTGTTTCGCCAATCAATTTATTTAAAACAATATCCACTGTTAAATTATTAGTGCTTAAATCATTTCTCACTACTTCTACCCATATCCTTCTTGGTCTACCTTAGCTCTTCTAGCCCCTTCCACTTGTAACAAATCACTTCTTCTAACTGGAGCTGTTGGTGACCTTCTATGCATGTGATCAAACCATCTTGGCCTACTCTCTCTCTCTCTCTCTCTCTCGCTCGCTCTCTCTCTCTCTCATTTTATCACTTATTGGAGTAATTCAGGTTTCTATGGTCCTATCCTTTCTAGTTTTTCCACTCATCCATCTTAAAGTTCACATTTCTGCTACACTCATTTTCTGAACATGTTGTTTCTTGAATGCCCAAAACTCTTCTCCATACAACATAGCTGGCCTTACAACCGTTTTATAGAATTACCCTTTCAATCTAAGTGGCCTATCACACAAAAGTCAGATGCAGCCCTCCATTTTGCCCACCCTGCTCTAATTCTCTGGGTGGCATCCTCCTCAATCTCTCCCTTGTTATGAACTATTGAACCAAGGTACTGGAAATGCTCACATTGAAATTATCTCTTGCTTTCCAGTCCCGAGTTTATCCTGATTTACACTCCTATTATTACTAAATTTACAAGTCATATACTTTGTTTTAGTCCTACTTATTTTAAAACCTCTCTTTTTTATCAGTAAAAAGAAATTTCATTAATGAAAAGAAATTACAGGGGTTACAGTTTATGAGTAGCCTCGGCTACCCCACTACAGTGTATCCACTATTAAATTGATTTTTCACTCTTACAGTTGAGCCCAGAAACAGTGATCCCTGTTCACCCCTTGTTTGGCTAGCTGGTCTGCAAATTCATTTGCTGCTCTATGGATCCACCAAATTGAAAGCTGCATGTCCTTGGATAGACTTTTAATCTTCTTGATGTCATTTCTGAATATCCAGGGTGTGCTTTCATGTTGTTTTAGCCAACTGATGATAACTTTGGAATCCCCTTCCACAACCAACCTTTCCACCCCCATCTCCTTAGCTTTTTGTATCCCATATACCATTGCCTTCAGTTCATCTGTAATGGAATTTCCAATTCCAATGGGACCCGAATACAACCCCAACACATTTCCTCTTTCATTTCTTAAGACTCCTCCAATTCCAGATCTTCATGGGTTTCCAAAACTGCTGCCATCAAAGTTCAATTTGATAAAGCCTGGTTCAGGGGGCACCCACTCTTTCAGGATCTTCTTTTTTGCCGGGGAAGAGAAAGCAACTATCCTCCAATTCCTAATCATATCATCCACTGTAAAATTTGAAAATAAATTCAGTGTTTTCACCCATGAGATCACCTTCATCATAATACTTTCTATCAGTTCTGCCTTGCATCTTTCCTTATCTTCAAATAATTTCCAGTTTCTTTCCTCCCATAGTACCCTTAGCACTGCTGCCCTTGTGCATCTCCACATCATTCTCCCTCTTCGCTTTGGCCATCTAAAAGTAGATGGCACAAGCAATCTTTCCAAACTCATCGGGGTGTCCCACCTGCATCCAAATAGGTAGAAAAACCAATCCCAAATGCTACTAGCAAGAGGACAGGAAACAAGAATATGAAAGGCATTCTCACCATTTGACTTACATAAATAACACCAATTTGGTGAAAGGCACCAACCAAGTCTTTTCCTCTGCATCAGATCACTAGTGTTAATTGCACTATGATAGACTTCCCAACAAAAAGCACCCACTTTGTGAGGAATAGGTCGACACCAAACTTCTTGTAAAGGGAAGGGTTCCCTAGGTTGGGCAGGGGAAGACAAAGACTTGAAAAAAGAGGCACAACTGAAAACACCTGAAGGATGGGGAGACCAAAGTGTCTTGTTTAGAAGTGTCGAGCCACACCCCATCAAGCACCTGAAGTAGAGAAGACAAAGAATCCAGTTCTTATTTCTCAACTCATATAGAATTGAATAGTTAAATTAATGAGGGAGGTACCCCAGCATTTTTTCTTATTTGGTAAGCAACAAAGGGAAAATATTCATTAAACACCAGGCTGCACACGAAAAATACACCCAAAAAAGTGTACATTGCTGGGCCTCCCAAGAGGCCATCCACAACTGACAACAGAGCAAAAATAAAATACAACAAAGCAAAAAACAACACTGATTACAAATAGCACATTAGCAGCCGGTCCTGGGCATCCCCAATCTAAAGTTTAAACACAATTTCCTAACCACAGGGCTAAGAGTCTTCCATCTCCATCTCTTAGAGCTCCTCTCAAAGGTTCCCAACTCTCCCAAACTATAGGTTTAGATCTTGAAGAAGTGGCTACTGCACCTGGATCTATCATCAATTGAGCACTCCTTAAATATTATCATTACTTTTATCTAATGTGCTACTTTGATGGCAATGCTTTCAAATTTCAATCAATTCCTTCTTTGACTTTTCTTTCCCTTGAAAGATCCGGTTGTTTCTTTCTTCCCAAACCACTCATAAAATGGATGCTCTTGCTACTCTCCATAGAGTTCTTCACCCTTTCTTCGGTTGTCTAAAGAAGCTTGCATCAAAAAGCCTACCACTCTAGGAGGAGGAATCCATTTGCTACCAAAGAGATAAGAAAACCAATCACAAATACTAGAGACAAAAAAGCAAGATATTAGTAGGTGTTCAACTGTTTCACCGCAGCCATAGCATAGGGCACATATATGAGGAGAGAAAGGCACCAATTTGGCCTCATATGCCATATATATTACATGATTACAACCCCAAAGAATAGCTATCCCCCATTATCCGTTTGCTTGGCCTTAGTATCAGACACACTTTTGGCTTATTTTTTTGACCCATGAGAAGGTGGCTTCCAGTTCCAGCTTGTCATACACATTTATCTTCGCATTTATAGTTTCTAATGAAAAGTAGTGCATATCCTGGGCAGTAAATAGGAAAATCACAAGCGGATTAGAAGGCAAAAAATTGACAAAAAAAAAAAAACTTTAAGGTGAAGCAATCATAAGGATGTGACGCCAAAATTGTGGAACCAGGGATATATTGGAAGAGATAGACCTCCTTAAGAGAGTCAAGTAGAGTTAAAACTTCCTCTACTTCCAAATTCCTAGGAGATCATCTAAGGCATTGGTTCAGGTTCCATTGAAGGCCATGTTTCCCAATAGAGAACATATTCGAGATTGTGGCCTGATGACCTCCTTAAGGGAGGTTAACTAGAATAGATGAGGAAAGAGGGTAACCAGTGGGGTATTCCCCCACCAGGTGTCTGGCCAGAATTTAGTTCTTGATCCATTACCCCAATGCATAAAGCAACTAGTTCAATTATCATTTGGGAGGACCTGCATCACATAGCTTTATCTCCTGAGAAATTGGAAACGAGCGGAGATGCACTGAACGTTATTAAGCATATTTTAGGCTTATGCATAGAGCATGACATTATGTGCTTGGATAAAAGAAGCATGATAAAGATATGGAATTTCATTCACTAAGAAAGCAAAATTATATATCAAGTTTTTTATTCTTTATTAAAACAACTTCATCCCCTACATACAAATCATTATCTAACTTTTATTTTGAATATATAATATTTGAATTCTATTTATGTACAAGACTTACTAAAACATCATTTTGCTGGTACTGTAGGAATAAACTCAACAAAAGAAACCATTATTAACTTACATTACCTATTGTGCCAACACCAGCCAAGGCAATCCCAACCCAATCAATTATATTCATGATTTCCTTTAAATAGAAGTGGGAAAAGATAGAAAGTATAGCAAGTCCACAGCCAGACACCGGTTGTATGACAGATACCTGTTATAAATACATTGTTAACAGTTACATGCAGGACATGAAGGGAAGTAACAGTAGATAATTCATCACACAGTCTCCACTTTGTCTTAACACTAAAAAACTACTTCAAGAAACCTACTGCAGGCAAAGAAAGCATGCTTTCCTTTTCTAAAATTTATACCATGGAAATTCTTTTAATTGTTTCAGCATCTTTTTTTTATAGGAAACGGATAATTTCATTAAAGATAATTAAACACAAATACAACTATCAACCACCCAAATTATAGGGTGTTGACCCCACTGGAATACTCTTGAGTTACAGCACAATTGTTTCAGCATCTTCCTTACAAAACCTAAAATATACAGCAGTTTAAATTATTTTAAGAGCATTACTTATTTATTTATTTATTTTGATGAATTGAAGAGCATTAAAATTCTGAATGGGCATTTGTATCTACATCTGAATCTTGAATATATGAAATGCAAAGTTGCATCCCCACATTCTCAATAGCTTCTGAACTCATTGACATTTTATCTGTTCTACAAAAATTGTCCTAGAGGTAGCATGTCAATATATATAATTATAAAGTTTAAGGAAACTCAAATATCCTTCTTACCAAGGAGGTACCAGATTCTCTTTTCAGTTGTTTCTCTAAGGGAACCTAACAATACAGTTTTTTAAGCATCAATGCTCGTGCAAGCTTTTTTTGATCAATAACCTCAAGATTTAATTAATAAGTTATTAAAAGTAAAGAGGTTTTATCTCTCACGGTCTTTTTTCTGTACTTTTAATGCTCGTCCAAGTTATTAGAATAGGAAAATCAGTCAACTCTATTTAAGATTGCAGAATCATTTCACATACATCTTTTTAGGGTCTCCACATACTTCTATTAGATCTATAAGAATTTAGCAATTTGCAGGAAGTAAGCTTTTCATCAAAGAAAGTTTATGCACTTGAAAGGCAGCTGGAAGTCTGCTTTTCATGGATCCATAGATCAGAAAATGGGCTGGATGACTCTATGGCCAAACAGATGGTGGATAGATAACAATTATTTTGCGGGAATGTAACAGAAATGTACGTAAATGGGCATGGGTGAGATGGCCACAAGCCAACGTCGCCCTCAAGGATTGTGACACACTTGTACATATATCATTTTTTAACTCAACGAATAAACTTAACAGTTACTCATCAAAGAAAAAAAAGTATTTAGTAACAACTTGCAGTCCCAAGGAAACTCCACGAGTTTAGTGATCTCGAAAATTCTCTTTCCATTTTATTAAATGGGTTGCTTCGGAGACATGTTTCTAGGATTAAAATGAAATTACAGGCTAAGCATATAAATCCCAATGAGAAAGAAAGATATGTCAAAATTTTATCAAAAAAAAAAAAGAGAGATATGTCAAAAGAAGGGGAGAAAACTTCAGCCTTTTGCGTTGTCTTTTATCAAAGGCATGCACATAAGCAGTATGTTGTGGGACACCTTGAATGGTGATCTGCATTCTACAAGTTGGCCTACTGCCCACCTTTTTGAGTGTCATGGTGTCTTTTAATGAAATGCACTCTGTTACTTATCAAAAAAAGGGCATACACATAAGCATGTTTTATGGCATTGATATTATATTAATTCACAATTAGATGGTGACTTCAGCACATCCCTTATTGATAATCCTGCCCAAAACAAAAACCAAATAACCCTGTGAAGTCACTTTTTGTTATCCTGTCTTTTTCACATAGGATGCGCCTAGATTAGTATCCTTTACTTTTTCCCCAATTTAATCATCTTGAGCTTGAGTAATTCTCAACCAACAGAAGTGATATATAACTGAATTGTAAATGATGACAATTGATGTCCACAGAGACATTGAAGAGATAAAAGCATGAGGCTGAATAAAACTTACTGGAGCTTGAGACAAAGCCCTCAACATCAAAAGGGCCCCAAATATATCCATGAGAAAGCCAATAATCCATGTCTTGTTGAATGCATATGCCCTTATGACCTGAAGACATGATTCAGAGACCATTGACAAGATATTTACACAAAGTAAATATTTTTTTTATCAGTTTTACACAAAGTAAATATTCGTTTAAAAAATAAAGATTGACAAAGCTACTTTAAGATTCAAATACTAAACAGAGAGAAAAACAAAGAACCAATAAGAATGATAAAATGCATATGTCAATATAGATAGTGTTTCAAGAAAAAAGCAGGTGCTCCTTACCACATCATTTCCTCTTTGTTCAATAACAAAAGATGACAACAAATTTGAATGATCCAAGCTTTGTCCTTGCAGTAAACCATCTTTGTATACAGAGTAAGAACAAGGCCATGGCCCACTTGAGGAACATGTAAATACACAAACCAAGAACCACAATCGCAAAATCCAAGTTTCATGACCCATGCTACAGTTTCAAGATGTTGGGATTATGCTTCTAATTTTGTAGGTTAAAATCTTGAAGATTCCTTATTACCATATATAGTTAGCTGTTGGGTTCCCTCCTTATGAGGTGGGGCCCACTCACTTAAAATCAAGGCAAAAGATAAGGAATAATAAAAGACACAAGAAAGAAAAGAAGGGTTAAGGGCAAAATACTCTCATCCTTTCATCTCTCTACACACATACATTGGGGGACTCTTGGGTTCTTTAAGTTAGGGTTTTCTTGGAGGGTTTCAAGTGAGAATAAGCTACTATGAAGGTCATATCCGCAGCAAGGTTTCTGCTACCATTCATCTCCAAGAAGCATTTCTAAGAGTGTTTGTTCTCTCTTTGAGGTGAGAAGATATATTCTTGTTCTATTGTTGCAAACCACCATTTTGGTGAGGATTTGAGCTTGAGCCAAGAGGGTTTTCTCTTGATGATGGTATCCTTTGTTATAGTGGAGATTTTTCCAGGTTAGTGCCCCGTGGTTTTTCCTCTTCACATTGGAGAGGTTTTCCACGTTAATAATTGGTGTTGTGTGTTTGTTTATTGTTGCTTTGATATTTCTTGGTTATTTGTTGTTTATTGTTGTTGTTATTCCAAGTTCCATTGAAATATAAGTCAATTAGGAACAAACCATTTCACGCTTGGGTTGTGCAGTGCAAAACAGAGTACTACGACTCTAGAATATTTCATTTTACCGCTATAATAGCATATTTTAAAGGCAAAAACAGAGTAGTCACACATGACGCTCAAAACTGGTTTTACAATTGATTCCAAGTGTTTTGTTAACCATTTCATTGTGTGTTGGGGACCTACAATAGTTACAATTAAATGTATTAATTTCTAAGATACAAGAATAGCATGTGGATGAAATCTTCTGATTAAGGTCATGTGCAGAAACCAACATTTTGACCATGAATTGATTATTGTTGTATGTCCGCCACCCATTGCACTTGTTTGTGTGAAAAAAAACTAAATTATGGATATGATAGACTTCTGCAGATTCACCATTCTTAAAAAGAAACGTAAGCAACCCTCTCCAGATTCTAGTCGATTACTAAAAGTTCCACAAAAGATTTTCCAGAAGAGCATAGCAATCCTTGACTACAGCAATTTGAAAATGCATCATATCATGCCATACAAACATCTTTTAAGAGAACAGCCAACCAAAATAGTAGACTCTCCGCGGTGGCTTCTAATCATTTCTTTTTATTATTATTAATATTATTAATACATACCATTTCTCCATATCCACCACAGAATTAAATCGTTTTTACTAACTTGATCGATCAAAATGCCAATGATCTTACTAAGACAAATAACAGAGGATTTTCACGAAATTCTGATAAATGTAAATGAAACAAAAACAAAAAGGATTTTGATGCAAGACAAATCAATAAACATAAAGACCCTATTACAGTATAATCATATACACCTGAAGCATCCTTGCTTCTTCGAAGGACGAAAAATGAAAGCGAATCGAATAGTAAAGAAACAAAACAAACCTTAAGCTTGAAGGAGAGAGGAGGAAGAATGACAGTTCCTTTCTTCTGCAAAACCTTGCCGATGTTATTACCAGCGGTTGCCGCTAACGTCATACAAATGGATTCCCACATCTCTCTTCTCTCTCTAGCCCTTCCCCGAAAGATCTCGCATTTGCTTCTTTTTCTTCTTCTTCCTCTCTTTTGCTTCGCTGCTCTTCCTGTTTTTGCGCTTTTTTATGTATTATTATATTATTATTGGAATCAATGTTTTATTTATTTATTTATTTTTTTTTTTTTTTGCTAATCAATGTTTTATTTTGTCTCCTTCCTTTTATTTTGGGTCTAAAAGAAGAGGGATGCCGACCAAAAAAAAATACAGTGGAGGGAACGAAAAACACGGCTACGGTCTAGGGATGATTCGGTAAAGTTTTCACTTTTCAGAACGGGCCGCTCAGAAGCCATGCTTAGACAATTACACTCTGGGGTCTGGGCCTCTGGGCTCCGGTTGCCTGACGCTCCGCTGGACGGGTAGAGTTTATGATGGATACGTCATACGTGTGACAATTACATTGTATTGACGTCGAACCGACTAGAAAACTGCGACAGTCTATACCCGGAATTATTCGATTGTTGTGATTGGTAATATACTAGGATCTTTTGCGAATTATTCCTTCCTAGAAGGAGCTGGATGAGAAAGCTTTGGCCGTTAGAAGCCAAAGGGAAATTTTGAGCGAGTAGGGGCCAAAGAGGAATTTTCCCTTGCTCAGTTGCTCGTTTAAAGAAAAAAACAAAAACATGAATGCAATTACTCTTTTACCCTTATAATATTTTTGTAAAAAAAAAAAAAAACATCCCAAATTATTTATCCCCGACAGCCAATGTTTTTGGGAGCCCGGATATCTTGCCCACACAAACTCTGCCTACGTCGTCTACTCATGTAACATCACATAACTTCGCAGCCATGCATAGATAATATCATATAATGCAGGGGAGATGTTCTCAATTCACAGGTAGTGCGCTGTGAATAGACATGGGCGGTGATCCGGAGTCTTATATCAACTCCATAAATTCCATGATTCAACAAGGTCCTTTGTGCTGATAACCGAGTAGCTGAAATTGTCACTGGACGTCTCTTGTAAGGCGTAGAATCAAATTTTGTATTATTGTTAGTAGATCGATCTCATGTGCACTCGTATCAATTGGAAGTTGATCATTTTTATGCTTATATTTGTTTTAATATAAACCTAATTTGGTTTACTAATAGTTATTTTTTGTAATCAATAATATTTATATTTATGTTTATATCTATATTATAAATAAAAGTGTGGTGGTGTGAAGTATTTTTTGAACTAAAATTAACCATTATCGTTTTGTTTGAAAAGGGTATAAAAGTCCTTTTATTATAATTATAATATCAGTTTTAATGGCTAATATAATGGTCATATTTGTATATTTAATCTATTAATCTCTAATTGTAAGGGTTGAAAATATAACTTCAATTATTACTTTTCACCTCATTTATATTGGTAAATGAAATTATTAGTTAACTTATATTGGAAATGAAATTACTAATTAATTTATAGTTAATAAAATATTATAATGTTTGGAAATGAAATTATTAATTAATTTATATTTAAAATGAAAGATAAATTAGTGTAATTTTGTTAGTAAACTACTTAATAAAAATAAATATTTAATAACAATTTAAAATAATTTTCAATAAATCTCCATAATTACACAAATGTAATAAATTTTTCAAAAATTTTCATAAAACTAAATTTTCCTAAAATAACATTTTGGAAACTAAAAGATATAATAATGTACTTTTGGAAATTTTTTGAAAGTTTATTTAAAATGTGTTAAATAATTATTAAAATTTATTGGAATATTTTGGAAATTTTAGGAAAATTTATTACATTTGATAGATTTTGGAAAACTATTGAAAAATTATATAATTTTCATTGTAAATTATTGAAAATTATTAAAGATAAATGATTATGGGAAAGGGAAAACTTTAATTTGAACCAATAATTGCACAATTTATTAAGATAGATTAGTATAATATTAGAAAAAGGAAATTATTGATTAGTTTATATTAGAAAATATAAGATAAATTAGTGTAACTCTATAAGTAAACCATTTAAAAGGAAAATAATTTATTTAATAACAATTTACAATAATTTTGAATAATTTTTCAAAATTACACAAATGTAATAAATTTTCCAAAACTTTCATAAAATTATATTTTTGAAAATTAAACACAATTTAGTATACTTTTAGAAATTTACCATGTGGCTAATACTTAGTATATCCTTTTGGTAGTTTTTGTCATCAAATTGAATATTGGATTGACAATGAGTGGGTGCCTTACCTTGAACTCACCCAACTCCAGGAATGGGAAAGGGAAAATTCAATGATTCCCCGTCCTTTATGGGGAGTGGATGCCTTGCCTTCAACTTGCCTGACACTAAAGATAAGGTAAGGAAATTCGAGGATTCTCCGTTCCTAACGGGAAGTGGGTGCCTTGCCCTGAACCTACATGACACTAAAGATGGAACAATGATGGGGTAGAGTATCTTGACTACGAGGCGAGGATAGGGATGGGGTGCCCCACCTCGAACCCTCTCCATTGCCATTTCGATATAATTGTTAATTATTAGTGAAATTAATAATAAAAATGTTAGCTTTTGTAATTATTTTTATTTACTTAAAGTCAATCAAAGTTTAATTTAAAAATAATGAAAATATAAAAGTTATTAAAATTACTATAAATGATTAATAAAACTAAATATATTAAAAAATAATTATTCATATTCAATTAATAATAATCATTTTTTGTAAATCAACATTAAATAAAAATTACAATTATTAAAATTTTAAATATTTATAATAAATTTGAACATTTTTAATTAATCAAAAGTAAATTTTGATTATTAATTTATCAATTAATTAATAGCAAATAAAATTAATCAATCTTTCAATTTTTCCAATGCATCTCATAGGTCCCTGCTAATAGTAGATATATTTAACTATAGTGCCATTGCCATTTGGGACTCAAAACATCAAAACATTTGGAGAAGAAATGGCACAAGCGTTTTGGCATAAAATTGTTTGGTATTGGCATTACTCCCCAAAACATTTAAATAAAATGTTTAAATAATATAATATATTATTTTCATTTAGTATGGTGGTACACTCGAACCATGCCATTAGTATTGTCTCGGAGCATATGTGCAATATGCATGAACCATCAGTCTACCACCTAAATCATTATGCCTTTGCGTGGTTCAAAGTATTGCAAGGTATCAAAGGGTGCATATCATTTTGGGGTTTTATAGATTTATTTTTCATATATTTGAAATAATAAAGGTTATGCATATTGGGTATATATATTAAATTAATATATTTTAATGATATTATGAAGAGATATATTATAGTTAATTATAATTTTATTAAAATCCTATGCTTAACTATAATTCTTAAGTTTTAATGTTTTATGGGATGGAAAAAACCTAACTCTCCTATCCAACCATAAAACATGCATTGGCACAACTTCTAAGTGAAAATATAATTAATAATTACTTCCAAAAATTATAAAAAATAAATAAATATTTTATTTTCAATTATTTTGTGAATATGATAGATCATCTATAGAAATATAATATATTCAATCATTGTCATCAAATGATAAAATATAATTAATTATTTACTTATTTTTTTAATTCTATATAAAATAAAAATAATTATTAAAGAAGAAATTTCAATTGTTCTATAGATATGATAGATAAATCCATAGATCTAAACCATATTTAGTCTTTATAGGTAGAGGAAAAATTATATTTTCAATTTTTTTTATTAAATTATATTTTTTTCCCATATATCTTGGTGAAGTTTCCATAAATCCACTAATAACACAAAAAAAATATATGATTTTGAATTGAAGAAATATAGATCAACATAAATTTAAAATTTCAAACAAAAAAAAAAAGAAATCACAAGATATTATAAAAAATTGAAAAAAATTACCTATTTTTACCATATTTTTTCAAATTTTAAAAAATCTTAAAAAATTAACGATCCACACTTATTTCTTGCAAATTTAGCACTCTAGGAATGAAGTTTAAAATTTTAAAATCATTTGGGAGGGAGGGGGTAAAAGGAAGCTTATTTCAAAGAAAATAAACTTGCTTTCCCCTTTTATTTTTTTCCAATTTTTAACCGTATCATTTTCGTCGATATGCTACTGATACACCCCCAATACACCCCAATACGGGTCCAATACACATGAAAAAAAACGAAATGCCCGATTTCCATACATATCCCGTATCTGTATTTTAAAGATAAAATACGAATCAGACAAATCGTATCAAAAATTTAAACCTTAGGAATAATCTTTCATAATACAAAAGAATGTAGCAACATACAAAATTTGACAGAAAACCAATAAAAATTCGTGAAGAAAAACGAATCATAAATTTCTCTATAATTTTTCAAGCAATGCACTAAGGTGAACAAATCATAAACTTCTCTATCAATACACTAAATACCAGGACTTGGGAACATTTATGAAGTTTGAATAGTAAAAGTTGATGTGAAATAATAATAGACTTCTAAAAACAGTTGAGGTTAGCTTTGATAGCATCATTGTTTCCACATGCAGCTGGTTGTTCGTTGTTACATCACATACGAGATTGTTGATGGATGTTTATAGTTGAAAGTCAAGTTTGACAATTTGTATTGATTAACCCAAAACATTTAGCGAGAAAATCTTAAAGAAAATATATCTTTAAGATTTGTATTGATCAACACAAAACATTAAAACACAAAACGTAATAGATTAAGATGATTTTACCACAGATATGAGATAAAAAAATCGAAATGGCAAAACAGGCTTTCTTCATGTAGCCAAATCTACATGAAATGATGATGATGATTATAATTTTTTCTTTTCATGATGATGATGAACCTTCTAATAGAAATGAATATAGAGGGAAAGCTCCGTTCATGAACCTTCTAATAGAAATGAATATAGAGGAAAAGTTCCATAAGAAACGGAAAAGTATGTACAGCCGTACAGCCCAATGCAGAATTCTGAATGTCAAATACCCCCTTCTATACACCAATACCCGTCATTCTGACGCAGGGCTGAACCGTCATTTTAGGGTCTCAGAACAGAAATGTGCATGTAACATGAGACGATGGAAAACTCAAAAATGCCCCATTC